ACTACACTGCCACTTCATTCAGGAGGTGCAGCAATGAATTCTGACTCACTTGTATCAAACTTGATATGACGCATGTTTTAGAGTAACCAGGAATGTTGACAGTCCAGATTTCCCTGGGAAGAAAATCCCGGCTTTTGTTTGCAAGAAGAGGAGTGACCTCATGCAAAAACGACTATACCATGGAGAATCGTACATGACAAAAAGAAGCCATTTGGTCTATGCTGCCTAGGTGGAACTTTGAAAGATATATCTCATTAATCCTATCCTCACCCCCTGCTGTTTCTTGCAAATAAGCCCTGCAAATTTCCTCAATGCAATTATAGATCCAATTCCTTTGAAAATGACCACTGAAACTGTTTCCACTCCCATTCAGAGTTGAAAATAATGGTTCTCAAAAAGCCACTGCTATTCAACAATCCCTTGCAAACTCTGAGTGAATGGGAAGGAACTATATTGACTGCTTCTTGTGCGACATACTGTCTAGTTTCAGTGATGTCTTAACTGTTCATTGAAATGGCAATCTATTTTAAGATTTCAAATTTTACAAAGAAAAATCTGGCAAACGAAACTTTCTTTGTCTGCTAAGTTTGAATGCAGCCCCCAAGACATCTGTCATAAAGAACTGGCAGAGTCTAGGATCTTCCCCGGCTTCAATTCCTGGTCTGCACTGAAAGGGTTGATCTCAGCCATCGATTCAAACTCACCTTTGGGCTAGGGAGTAGAAACATCAACTAGCTTTACTTGTCATCAGTGATTTCAGCTGGCAGGTATGAGAGTCTCAGGCTCAACTTAATCTAATCATACACACTAAAATATGGCATTCATACCCTACCTTAATGCCAGAGATCGAATCAAAGTGCATAACATACCGATCAAGATATAAGAATAGCCATCACTGTTTTATAGTCTCAGGTATCCTTCATTCCTACAGACCAAGCTATCGCCTCTAGGTGGAATGTGACTACATGCAATAATGTTGTAAAAGTATCCAAGATGAAAGATGAGTGTAAAAGTAACTCTGGCATCTATTCCTGGCCTGATAGACGTCTGGGCATCTGTCCCTATTATGTTTACAGTAAATACATCCTCTGAGGCAAGTAAACAGCAAGTCTCAGCATCTCAGCAGAGAAATAGTTGGCATCTGATATGTGCTATACATTACATTCCTGTTCTATGTTCTTTACATTCCTTCACATCTTGTAGATGATGATCAGAATATGTGACTGATCATTTTTATGCATGACAGTACTTGTTTTGCAGAGATTCAGCAAAGGAATACACTTATCTCCTCTGTTACATGAAACGTTCACTGAGGCATCAAAGACTTCTATAAAACAGAGTATACCACAGGAACAGTACACACCTTCTCCGGCATGGGTCAGAATATTCATAGGGAGGCAAGGACACAGGTATTGGGAATCATGTGATCTCTCTGCCCTGTTGTGTGTGTGTTATAGATATATGACACATTTCCTTCCAATGTCACACTTACTTCCAATACCAGTTTCCTATGGCACTTTGAGATAGCAAGATCTGCAGATGCTGGAGTCAGAGATAACACAGCGTGGAGCTGGAGGAACACAGCAGGCCAGGCAGCATCAGAGGAGCAGGAAAGTTGACGTTTTGGGTCGGGACACTTCTTCAGAAACAGGGAGAAGAGGAGTGGGGCTGGGGAATGTAGGTGGGGTGGTGATAGGTGAGTGCAGGTAGGCAGTGGTGGGGATTGGTCAGTGGGGTGGGTGGGGCGGATAGGTAGGAAAGAAGATAGACAGGTTGTGTCAGATCAAGCAGGCGGGGATGAGAGGGAGGGTTGGACATGGGATGAGGCTGGTGGGGTGCAGATTTTAAAACTGGTGAATTCCATGTTTAGGCCAACTGGCTGTAAGCTCCCGAGGCGGAATATGAGGTGCTCCTCCTCCAGTTTGCAGGTGGTGTCATTGTGACACTGGGAGGCCCAGGATGGACATGTCACCCAGGGAGTGGGAGGCGGAGTTAAAATGATTGATGACCAGACATTGTTGTCGTTTGTCATGTACAGAGTGCAAATGCTCTACGAAATGGTCTCTGAGTCTACACTTGCTCTCACCAATGTAGAGGAGGCCACATCGAGAGCAGCGGATACAATAGATCAAGTTAATGGATGTAATAATGTTTTGGGCCTTGAATGGAGCGGGTAAGGGGGAGGTGTAGGGGCAGGTGTATCACCTCTTCCTCCGCTACATTGATGACTGTATTGGCACTGCCTCATGCTCCCACGAGGAGCTTGGACAGTTCATCAACTTTACTAACACCTCTCACCCCAACCTCAAATTCACCTGGACCATCTCCGATACCTCCCTCTCCTTCCTGGATCTCTCCATCTCCATCTTCGGTAACCACCTCAAAACTGACATCTATTTCAAACCCACCAACTGCCATAGCTACCTGGACAACACCTCCTCTCACCCACCCTCCTGCAAGAATGCGATTCCCTACTCCCAAATCCTCCGCCTCCATCGTGTCTGCTCCCACGGTGGGGTGTTCCACTCCCAAATTCCCAGATGTCCTCATATTTTAAGGACCGTAACTTCCCCCTCCAGTGACCAAAAATGCCCTCAACTGCATCTCTTGCATTTCCTGCACTTCTGCCCTCAAACCCACACCCCCCCGCCAACAAAAATAAAGACAGAATCCCCCTTGTTCTCACATATCAACCGGCCAACCTCCACATCCAATGTATCATTCTCCACCACTTCCACCACCTACAATCCAACCCCACAACCAAAGATATACTTCCCTCCCCACTCCTATCTGCCTTTCGTAGGGACCACTCACTCTGCGACTCCTTCATCTGCACCACTCTCCCGGCACCGTTCCCTGCAACTGCAGGAAGTGCTACACCTGCCCCCTCTCCCCCTCCATTCAAGGCACAAAACAAACCTTTCATACCAGACAGGGGTTCATCTGTACATCCATCAACTTGGTCTACTGTATCCGCTGCTCCCGATGTAGCCTCTTCTACATTGGTGAGACCAAGTGGAGGCTCGGAGACCGTTTCATGGAGCATCTGCGCTCATTACGCGACAAATGACAACAACATCTGGTCGCCAACCATTTTAACTCCCCCTCCCACTCCCTGGTGATATGTCCATCCTGGGCCTCCTCCATTGTCATAATTACACCACCTGAAAACTGGAGGAGCAACACCTCATATTCTGCCTTGGGAGCCTACAGCCCACTGGCCTAAGCACGGAATTCACCAGTTTTAAAATCTCCCCACCTCTGGCCACATCCTGTGTTCAACCCTCCCTCTCATTCCCACTTCCTTGACGTGACACAACCTGTCCATCTTCTCTCCCGCCTGTCTGCCCCACCCATCCCACTGACCAATCCCCACCAATCCCCACCACTCCCTACCTGCACTCATCTGTCGCCATCCCACCGACCTTCCCCAGCCTCACCCCTCCACTCTCTATTTATTTCTGAGCTCCCTTCCCAAACCCCCACCCCCATTTCTGAAGAAGGGTCCTGAACTTTCCTGCTCCTCTGATGCTGCCTGGTCTGCTGTGTTCATCCAGCTTCACAGTTATTCCTGTGACACTTTGCCATGTTCATTGTTTGACATATTTAGTCACCATAAATCAATGACCCTGACAACAATAACATTGTGTGCTACGCAACCAAACTCCACTAACAGTAGAAACGGCATATCCTCCGATTCCCATCTTGATTATATACAGACACAAAGATGAGATCCTGCTTTTCCCATGCATTGTGTCAGCAAAGGCTTCCTCCAGCAGTGCAGCTATATACATTACCTGAATATACAACATTTTGCAATTTTGAAACACCTCTAATTTATTAAGTATACTATAAGAGCAGCGATGATTTGCTACAATTGTACAAGGCATTGGTGAAACCTGGAGTATGGTGTACAGTTTTAGTGTTCTCATCTGAGGAAGGATGTTCTTGCTTTGAAGAAAGTGCAATAAAAGCTTACCAGACTGATTCCTGGGATAGCAGCATTGACATGTGAAGAAAGACTAGATTGGTTGGGTCTTTATTCATTTGAGTTTAGAAGAATTAGGGGGAATCTCATACAAATCTATAATATTCTAACAGGACTAAACAGGCGAAATGCGAAAAGGATGCTCCCGATGACCAGACAGTCCAGACCAGAGCTCACAGTTTAAAGATATGACTGAAATCGGGAGAAATTTCTTCACCCAAAGAGTGGTGAGTCTGTGGAATTCTCTGCCACAGCAAGCAAGTGAAATTGAACCATTGAATGTTTTCAAGAAAAAGTTAGGAAAAGTCCTTAGGAGTAAAGAGATCAAATTGAATGGGGAGAAAGCAGGAATAGGGCACTGAGTTGGATGCGCAACAATGATCATATTGAATGGTGGAACAGGCTCAAAAGACTGAAAGGCCTACTCCTGCTCCTATTTTCAATGTTTCTATAAACTGTCCTAAGGAACTTTATAGGAATGTTATCATAATGATCGTAATATGTAGGAGCAGAAGTAGGTCAATTGGCTCAGTGAGTCTGTGCCACCATTCATTGATATCATGATTGATTCAATAAATCTCAATTCCACTTTCCTGCCTTCTCACTATTACCCTTGAATATACTTAATGACCAAGCCTCTGCAGTAAACAAGGTCACAGATCCACTGCCATCTGAGAGAACCTCAACTCCATCTTAAATCATCAAATAAAGTTTATCAAATAAAGTTGGACATCAAATCACACATGCAAATTAAAAAAAAGGAAGATTACCAGAATTTTGCATTCAGGATCTTGTTTTAATTGTGCGTGCGTGCCTTAAAGGAAGAATGAGTGGCGATGAGGTTAAGAAAGAAAATTTCAAAACGTAGGCCCTCAGCGGCTAAAGGTACTGCCATCAATGGTGGAATGAATTGAGTGGGGAATGCACAAGAGGTTCATCATTGTAATGTGCTTATATCTGACTGTGCATGTTTTGACAGCCACAAAAACATTAGGTAAAAGTGTTTGCTCACCTAGTCCGATAGAAAAGAATGAGGTACTTGGTGGGATGACTCTCAGGTGGCGGCTGCTGGAAGTCAGGTTTCTCAACTCAACATTTGTCTGAAAAAGTTAAATGGACATAAAAAGATGCCTTCTGTATTGAATTTGAGAATGCCAGAGAGTAAAAAAGCTCAAATACTTAATAGGAGTGCAAATTTGCATTTTTCTGGTGCTTGTATCATAGAAACGTAGAAGATAGGAGCAGGAGGAGGCCATTTGGCCCTTTGAGCCTGCTCCACCATTCTTCACGATCATGATTGATCGCCCAACTCAATAATCTAATCCTGCTTTCTCCCCATAACCTTCGATCCCATTCTCGCCAAGTGCTATATCTAGTTGCCTCTTGAATACATTCAATGTTTTGGCATCAACTACTTCCTGTGGTAATGAATTCCACAGGCTCACCACTCTTTGGGTGAAGAAATGTCTCCTCATCTCCGTCCTAAATCATCTACCCCGAATCCTCATACTGTGACCCCTGGTTCTGGACACACCCACCATTGGGAACATTCTTCCTGCATCTACCCTGTCCAGTCCTGTTAGAGTTTTGTAAGTCTCTATGAGATCCCCCCTCATTCATCTGAACTCTAGCAAATACAAAATCAACCTAGTTAATCTCTCCTCAAACGTCAGACCCACCATCCCGAGAATCAGCCTGGTAAACCTTCGCTGTACTCCCTTGAGACCAAGAGCATCCCTCCACAGAAAAGGATGCCAAAACTGCACACAATATTCCAGGTGTGGTCTCACCAAGGCCCTGTACAACTGCAACAACACATCCCTGCTCACCTAGTCCAACGGAAAAGAATGAAGTACACTGTGAGGTCACTCTCAGGTTGTGGCTGCTGGAAGTCAGGTTTCTCAACTCAACGTCAAACAGGCAGATCTCCCCACAACATTATAGTTTTGTATTTACACTGCTTTATAAGCACAACATAAAACTTCAAACACAATGTATTATTCTATTGTTCCATATTATATGTGGAATGTGAGTGTTCCTTTAAGATGATAATTGCCTATAAGTTGGTACTTCTAGTACCAGATCAAGGATACTTTCCACTGCTGGGGATGTTTTACTGCCGGCTGGCTTTAATTTAAAATCCATAATGCAGCTTGAATAGTATCTACCTGAACTCCTGGCCCAGAGAATTGTGCATAGGTATCAATTGTGGTTCAGCTGGCAATACTCATGTGGCTGAACCATAATATCCAGTGCTCAAGACTCTCTCTGGGATTCGAGCACACAAAAACCATGGTTGATATTCCTGTAAAGTCCCACTAGAGGTGAAACTATACTGTCAGAGATGTTGTCTTTTGGATGAGATGTTGAACTAAGGTCCTATCTACCTGTAGAAGTAGATGTAAAAGATCTCACAGCACTATTTCAAAGAAGAATAGAGTTCTTATCTGGTCAATATTTATCCCTTAATGAACATCACAAAAAACAGATTATCTAATCATTATCATAATATTAACCATGTTCATAATTTCAAATGAAATATTGGTGGAATATAGATATTAGCCTATGATCCAACACAACTGGAGCATAGACAGTAAGTTGTTTGATGTCTCAGTTCCAAAGTTTTTTTGGACATTCCCTACAGAGCTTGCAGCTGTTGTGCTGTGAGAACCTAAGTGAAGTGAACGTACAGATGTTCTGTTTTGAGCATGGTTTGGAAGGAGACAATGGAAAGTCAAGTGGCAGATGAGATTTAATGCAGGGAAGCGTGAAGCAATTGTATTACAATATTTTGATGTGATTTGATTTAATTTATTATTGTCACATGTACCTAGGTACAGTGAAAATTTTTTTTTGGGTACAGTACAGGTGGATAATACTGTGCAAAGTACACAAGGGTAATAGAACAGTGCAAGAAATGCAATGTTACGGCTGCAGAGAAGCTGCACAAAGAGCAAGATCAACATTAAATTTAAAATTTGACAGATCCTTTCAGAAGAGTAATAACAGCAGGGAAGAAGCTGTTCTTGAATCTTTTGGTATGTGTGTTTAAGCTTTTGTATCTTCTGCCAACAGAAGAGGTTGGAGGTGGGAGGCATCTTTGATTATGTTGGCTGACTTTCCAAGGCAGCAAGAAGTATAGATAGAGTCAATGAATGGAAGATTGGCTTGCATGATGGGCTGGACTTTGTTCACAACTCTCTGTAGTTTCTTAGGGTCCTGGGCAGTGCAGTTGCCATACCAAGTCTTGATGCACTCAGATAGAATGCTTTCTATGGTGCATCTATAAAAATTGGTAAGCGTTTTTATGGACATGCCAAATTTCCTTAGCCTCCTGAGGAAATAGAGGCATTGTTGTGCTTTTTAGATCATCGCATCAACGTGGGAGATTTTGGTGATCATCACTCCCAGGAACTTGACGCTCTCGACCATCTCCACCTCAGCTCCACTGATGCAGTCAGGGGCGTGCCCTGCTTCTTACTTCCTGAAGTCAATGACCAGCTCTTTTGTTTTGCTGACATTGATGGAGAGATTGTTACCTTTACATCATGCACTCTCTCTCTTTTCTGTATTCTGTTCTGTTATTGTTTGAGATCTGGCCTCCAATGGTGGCGTTGTCAGCGAACTTGTAGATAGAGTTCGGACAAAATTTGGCCACACAGTCATGAGTGTACAGGGAGTATAATAAGGGGCTGGGTACACAGCCTTGCAGGTTGCCAGTGTTGAGGATTGTCGTGGAGGAGGTGCTGTTGCCTATTCTCACTGATTCTCCAGTGAATTGTGACAACATACATTGAGGTTGAGTGAAGATTTGATGGAGGTGTTTGAAATCCTAAAGGGTCTGGACAGAGTAGATATTGAAAAACTGCTCTTGCTAGTGGAATAATTGAGAATCAATAGGCACAGTTTTAAGCTAATTGGTAAAAGAAGCAATAGTGACATAAGAAAAGCATTTTCAAACAAGGCATTCAAGAAGGGATTGGATTATTATTTGAAAAGGAAGAATATTCAATGTTAACAGGGAGCAGCAATACGGGAAATGCTGCTTACAGAAACTGGCACAAACACAAAAACCTTAATAATCTACTGTGCAAAAACAATTCCATGATTTTAAGTGGAATCACTATGTTCTGATAGAAAGTCATCATCAATTTTGTTTCTCCGGCTGCAACAGTGCTTCCTGGTTCATCTTTTTCCATTTTTATTTCACAATGTTTATGCTTGGGCATTGGATACAATGGTCATATACCACTACATATTGTCACAATTTTACCTCCTGGAAAGAGATAGTGGTTCAGTAGTAATGTCACTAGCCTGATGATCTAGACATTGCAGTTTAATACTCTGTTGGAATGGTTTCAAATCCTATTATATTACTGCAGATTGTGAAACTTAAATTCAACCGTTTCTATAAATCTGGAAATGAAAAGCCAACCTAATTACAACCAATTACTGTAAATGGTTCACTAACGTCTTTTCGAAAAGGAAACTTTTCGTCATAACCTGGTTTGGCCTATGCATAACTCCAGATCCACAGAAATAACTGATACACATAGAAGTGGTACGGCAATTAACATGACGGATTTTAATCTACATATTGATTGGTCAAACTAAGTCAGTCAAGGTAGCCTTGAGGAGTTCATAGAATGTATCCGTGATAGTTTCCCTGAACAGTATGTAATGGAACCTATGAGGGGTCAAGCTATCCTAGATCTGATCCTGTGTAAAGAGACAGGAACAATTGATGATCTCACAGTTAGGGATCCTCTCGGAAGGAGCGATCAAACTATGGTTGAATTTAAAATACAGATGAAAGTTGAGAAGGTAAAATACCAGCGTCTTGTGCTTAAACAAAGGGGACTACAACAGGATGAGGGAGGAGTTGCCTAAGATAGACTGGGAGCAAATGGTGGGACAATTGAGGAAGAGTGAAAGACATTCAAAGCGATTTTTCACAGTGCTCAGCAAAAGTATATACCTGTGAAATGGGGAGACTGTAGGAAAAGGGATAATCAGCTGTGGATAACTAAGGAAATAAAAGAGGGTATCAAATTGAAAGCAAATGCACACAAAGAGGCAAAGATTAGTGGAAAACTAGGGAATTGGAAAATCTTTAAAGGTCAACAGAAAGCCACAAAAGAACTATAAAGAAAGTTAAGATGGATTATGAAAGTAAATTATCTCAGAATATAAAAACAGATAGCAAAGGTTTCTACAAATATATAACATGAAAAAGACTGTCTCAGGTAAACATTGGTCCTTTACAGGATGAGAAGGTGGATTTAATAATTAAAAATGAAGAAATGGCTGAGGTGTTAAACAGGTATTTTGAGTTGGTCTTCATGGAGTCAATACCATGCCAATAATTGATGACAAGGAAGCTATGGCAGGTGAGGACCTAGAAACGATCAATAATTATCACTAAAGAGGTGGTGGTAGGAAGCTAATGGGACTAAAGGTAGACAAGTCTCCTGGCCCTGATGGAATGCATCCCAGGAATCTCAGATTCCTGGGGGAAATGACAAATGCACTTGTGGTAATTTACCTAAATTCGTGGACTCTGGGGCGGTTCCGACAGATTGGAAAACAGCAAATGTGATGCCACTGTTTAAAAAAGGAAGTAGACAAAAGGCAGGTAACAATGGGCCCATTAGCTTAACTTCTGTCGTGGGGAAAATAATTAAATCTATCAAATAAGAAATAGCAAGACATCTGGATAGAAACTGTCCCATCAGGCAGACGCAACATGGGTTCATGAAAGGCAGGTCATGTTTAACTAATTTACTGGAATTCTTTGAGGACATTATGAGCGCGGTGGACAACAGGGAACTGGTAGATGTGGTGTAGCTGGATTTCCAGAAGACGTTCGACAAAAGTACCACACAGAAGGCTGCTGCAAAAGATAAAGGCGCATGATATTATGGGTAATATATTAGCATGGAGAGAAGATGGTTAACTAAGAGAAAGCAAAGAGTGGAGACAAACGGGTGTTTTTCTGGTTTGCAATCAGTGGCTAGTGGTGTGCCTCAGGAGTCAGTGTTGGGACTGCAACTGTTTACAATTTACATAGATGATTTAGAGTTGATAACCAAATGTAGTG